CAGCTGTGGGTATGGAAGGAAAAGGAAAGGGGGAGTAATCATTTGCAAAGAAAATGTAAAAATCTGTAGCTACAGCGTAATTTGTTTTTTCATTAAGCAAGGGGATATTTGTTCTATTAAAAATGCTTATTTAAAAACTCCTTTCAGAGTTCATTTTTTCTCCTGAAGGCTGCTTTAAAAAACAATCTCCGCAAAAAAAGAGGAAAAAGCAATATATTTTCAAAACAGAGTTTTCTATTTCATCTGAAGTTAACGAAATGCAGCTCCTTGACATAAACCATATAATGCCTGATTGCTGGCAGTACTGTTATAGGATGAAGATAATGATTCGCAGTACTTTTCAAGAGCTATTAATGTTAAGAATTACTTGTTCCACCAAATGAACATTATAAAAAATTAATAGTATGCAGATTGCCATTATTGCAAAAGCCCCTGGGCCTTAATGGCAAGGAATTTCAATTACTCCAAAATATTAATAAAGCAATTTTTTTTCCTTAATTCCCTCCCATTTTCCCCCCATTACTCTCTTTCTCTAAACTGTTTTTTCCACTGTTCTAGAGCACCTGCCTCAAGTGATCCTGCCCTTTATGATCTGTCTCTTAACAATGTACAGCCATACCCACCAAAGAGAGCGCTGTCAAGGGAGTGGGCAGGGTGATCTCTGCTCTCCCCATGGGCAGGGGAGGTTGCTCTCAGCCCTGCTAATTGCTTTTCCTGGAGACTGGAACACTGTGCTCCTTCCCAGATCTGATAAAACCACACATGATCAAAAAGCACAGACTGTGCCTAGTCCCAGCTCTCCCAGTCAACCCAGCCACTGTTGCAGCTCCCACGCTGTCTCCAAAGCCATCCGCATGGCTTGTGCAGTTCTCAGGAGGTCAGAGCATCTTCACCAGTTGTGGCTGGGCCTTCCCTTTTTCATCCCTATTAGCACTGCCTAAGTAAACAGTGACTTTACAGGACTTCATAGAGTTACTATTTTAAGAATCAAACCTGCTTGTCTCCTGGAAAACAGGAGAAACCAACTCTCATCATTGGAACACCAAGTTGTGCTGATGAGGCTGGAGCTCTCCCAGGTTGTCAACTTCTACGGCCATATAAAAGTTAAGGCAGCAAAAATTGCATTATCTTTTGGAAAATAAAGGTGGGTTTCAATATAATCTTTCTAATCAAATGGCTTTCTCATCAGTGTAAGTTAAGTGGGGGCAAATAAGGCAAAAGTAATACAAAGCAGACTTGCTGGTCTCTGTTAGGTGAATAAACTATGTGAATGCAGACTGGCAAAACAAAATTTCTCTCTAAAAGAAGTTTCAAGCAATGACAAAAAGAAATGTGTCCAAGAGCTAGAAGAGGTGATTTTCCCACACACGTGGGTAGAAGCACAGCGAGGAAGCAGTGCGGCTGGAAGGGTTGGCCGCAGGACACATCCCTGCAGTTCACGCTCATCTTTCCCTAACGCTTCGCAGCTCCCCCCGAAGGAGAAGCGGTGCTCCACAAAGCCATAAAACTACATTTCCCGACACTCCGTTTCAAAGATCATAGGGCTGTTTTGCTGCTGTACTACAGAGATCTCCAATCAGTGGCACAAGAGTGGTCCCTGGTGGAAGGAGATCAGATCTGCAGCGTTGACACCAAACACACAGGAACCCAAGCCAAAGATTTTTTGCTACAGATACCAGCAGTCACTTTTTAGCCCTAATACTAGGTTAGCCTGATGCATGACACCCTAAAAAACCGAGTTCACACGCACACTTTCGGATTTTAGACCTTTTATCACGTAAAATGCTACTGTACTTAAGTCTGCCAGAAAACCCAGGATGGGAAGAGTGGCTTTTTTGAGGCATTTTCTTAAATGTGAATTAGAAGAAACTGCAGTCAAAATACTCAGTCTTGACTTCAGAGCTGTAACACACTGATCAACCAACTGTCCAACAGCAGATTAGGAAGCAAGACAAGATATAAACAGACAGCAAATAGTAGCTGAGGGCAGTAACACCACTAGTAAACATACAAACACAGTGGAAAACATTAAAGCTCAGGTTCTTTCCCCAGAATTAGATTTCAGCCCATTTATACTCACTTCAGAATTGACACTTATAAGTCTAAACCCAGCAAAAGTAGCAGGAAATGTGCAAAACACATCATCGTCATCTAAAAATTCAGAGGAACTTCAAACACATTGCAAAAATCCAATCACTAATGATCAATAGGCGTTTCCTTGTAACTTTGAGTTTGATCAAGACAGACAACAGAAAATGTCCTGTCAGCTTCAACAGCCTTTGAATCAAGACAACAAACCAGAAAACAGCAGAAGATAGAATGTCAATCAAAGAGGAAAAAAGAAAATCCAGGAGAAATAAAAAAATATCACTGTGCTATTTCCCAAAGTACAGTTACCCATAGACCGGGAAGAAGTTCACAGTGCAAAATTCCCACCTGCATTAGGCTCTTTACAGACCAGCTTAAGAAAACCGTATCAGGAAACACCAGCAAGAAAATCAGTACTTACCCAGCTACCTGCTCACAAGGCCAACAGCTTGATGCTGTCACACTTCATTTCTTCTTTCCACATCAAATCACTGCTTTCAGCATAGGCTGTCCCTCCAGCCATTATGCAGGGGGAATGAAGGGGTTGAGGGGCAGGCTTTTTGTTTTGGGAAGTTCTTTAGTTATCCTGCAGTAAGGAGCCATCCCTTGCTCTAACTAGATGAAAACCCAGCATACACAAGGCATGTCATGTCTAGTAACCAAGGCAGATGAAGCTGGCAAGAAAGCCCACCCAAGAGAGGAAGCACTTCTGCAAACCATTAACTTGTTTTCCGTGTTATTGCAAGGGCATAGCTGAGAAGTATAATTTCTCTTAGGGCAGATAAAAGCTATTTCTTGCACACTTCAACTACGTTTTCCTGAGCTAACCAGGTTTAAGGTGAAGACACAGCCAAGCTATCCTTGGAGACAAAGAATTGTCAAGTTCTGGGTGAAACAACCTCTTTCTTCCTCCCCAGAATACCCAGCAGTATGCCTAACCTCTGAAAAGTGAAGTACAAATCATTACAAGTAAAGTAATGGTATTTGCTGTAACAGACAGCAACACTTAGCAGTGACAGTTCATCACTAAGGCTGGCTCACAGAACAAGTGGAATTCCCAGCCACCCAACCCTCTCTGCAGCACACAGTCAGGGACTTCCATTCTTCCCACACAGGAAGGCTGCCACAGACACCTACAACAGCACCAGAGAACTCAGCAGGAACTTTTCATTACTTCAAAGAAGTCAAGGTCTTGAGCTCTTCAGATAGGCCAAGTCACAGAGGACTTAAATGAGAGCCACAAATCTGCTTGCACACAGGCTCCAGGTTATGCCTTCCTTTACTCACCCCTACTTCCAGTTCTACTCAACTGCTGTTTTCCTGACTGGTGAAGGGCAAAGATCAGGTATACACACTCCCTGTGTTTGGGAAATCACCTGCAAGCTTCACAATGACCTTGCAAGAAGTGTACTATGAGGAAAACACGCATAAAAGTGGTCAAATACACTATTTTTTAATGCAGATTCATAAAATTTAAGCTCAGTGTTGAAAATTCAGGATATTTCATGAAAAGCATTTGGTCCTCTTAAAGATTTCCCATCCACAATTAAATACTTCACAGAAAAACAACAATTAAGCATACATTGCATTTTTAATTAGGAAAAGTTGATATTGCACATTATACCAAGAAATACAAAAGTCTGTTTCAGCAAGTTATTCCAGCAGTGTTACCAATTTCATTTTGATATCATTGACTTACACAAAAGGTTCAATTTTAGTGCATAGCACGTGCCCTGCCATTATAAGGTAAAAACATATCAAAGCATTTTTAAAACAAAGAGGAAGAAAAGTTGGCTCTGTAAAGAATCTGAAGTCTTTTACCAGAGAGTCAGCACCAGTCTCCTTATAGACAAAAGCTGTTCCTATGAAAGATGACTGATCACCTTCACCTTGCACAAATTCCAGTGCAGTTTCTAACCATATACTATTTGGCTTAAGCTGACCATACACTGTTTGGCACTGTAACTAATGGTCCAAGTCACTAAGGGCTGAAAGGCTGCGATACCTGCCAATACTGTTCCATTTTAGCTACCTATCACTCTATTTCTGGTGATATATAAGAAGGGAAAATCATGGTGGCAGAACAGTTGTGCAGCTTCATTACAGCCATGTAATTTGCTGAGGACAACTCTGAAGCAGATTTCTGTACATAACACTCAGCTGGAACCCTCACCAGGGCTCAGGTGCTGCAGAAGGCACAAAACACTGAGAGGCAGTTACAAGTGCAAATGAAATGCACATTCAGAGAGCTTAACTGCAAGGCAGAGAAAAATCTTGACCAGCAGCCACCAGCACACCTAGGGCAGCATCTGTCACGCCATGACTTTAAATGGCCAGTTGTGGAACACTGCATTATGCTTCCAGGCTACCAGGTGCTTGTCATTTTAGAGCTACAATTAGAAGATCTGGCCCAGTAGCAGTATCTCAGAAAGCCCAGATATTTCTGCCTCCCTCAGTCATCAGAAAGCACTTCCCTTCATGCAGCCTCCTGCACTTCTTTACACCATTACAGACTGAAGTGTACCTGCATGCCCAGGCAATGTTTACTGGTCAAGAAACTCTGCCTTGAACCTCTCCAATACCTCTGGATCATTAACACCTTGAATTTAGGTTTTGCTTTTAAATAGGCAACTAAGACATTCCAGTAACAGGTCTGCAAAGCCAATTCTACAGGAGTTGGAACTGCAGCTGCCCCAAGCATCAAGGCAACTGACTACTGCAATGTTTCGTGGAATCTTATGGTTCCCTCTCCCCATTCCAGCCTTCCCTCCCATTCAAACACACACAGTAAGACTAAGAAAACACGACTGTTCTTTTTTTGCCCGAATACAAGATCCAACTATAATGGAATAGAAGATTCTACAACAAAGTCCCTGAGATGCATCTGTAGACTAAAAGATTCAAACAATAACCTCTTCATCACACCATATTTATTAGAAATGCTTTGAGTTGCAACATCTGGTTGATGAAAACCGATGTTGTTATAAGAATGTGAAAATACAGCAGACCAAGTTTGCCCTTATGTTTAAGCCTTCATTTAAAAATAATTAACCCAACAGTAACATTCAGCTACTTCAACTGTAGTCAAAATTAAAAAGCATATACGCAACAGGGAGTCACTGGAGAAAAAAAAACACCACCAAAACCAATAAAAACCCAAACAACTGTTGTATTTAGAGTAAGTTGTTTTGGCCTCACTTAGTTTTCAATCCTCAACAACCCTGCTTGAATTTAACTGCTCTCTTCCTGAAAGCCTATAGTTATTCCTCAAACATAACTGAGCTGCAGTTCAAGAAGCTGGGATGCAGCAACAGCAGGTTCTCACCATTCCTCACTGGAACCAGGGGGCACAGGTCACAGGTACACTGCACAGGTAGCACAGCAGTCAGCACTGGCAGCTGCTGCACCCACAAACTCATTAGAGTGGCATACACTAAACTGTCTTGTGGCACAGGGAAGTGGGCACAATGCAGGCTCAGACCTCTACCTCCATCTCCAGGATGATGCAGAGGCAGCCCCTTTACTAACTGCACTGACACAAAGAATAAACTCAGCCCAGATTAATAAAACTCAGAAACACTCTGGGATGGGCACAGAGGCTGGTATTTTCTTCCACTACCTTGATAAAAAGAGAAGCCATCTCATACACAAGTTACTTTGGGATCCACTGTGTTTTGTAACCAGCTCTATCCATTTTCCCAAACAAGCTCAATTTTTCCTGCTAGAGAACAAAATTTAAGGCACTAATATATTAATGCTGACAGGAATGTGGAATAGTTTGTTCTTCATGTACTGTTATACCAGTTCTTAGCAGCATCTCTCTGAAAAAGGCACTAAAAACACGGCAGACAACGCAACTTTTGGAACTTCTGCTCAACTAAGCTATGTCAAGTTAGCTGCTTGGAAAGCTAAGCGGCAATTTCCCCTTCCCTCCCAACCCATTCCCCTATAAAAACAAGGCACCTGATTTGTTTTATTACTGGTTTCTATAGCTACAGGCTCTTGAGACCATGCAGTTCCATGTAACTGAGGAATATGATGACTATACTGATAGCTTTTTACATGATCAGGAGTTACATTTTCAAGATACTATTCCAGATAGAGTGATTTTTTGTTTCAGCAAAACCCATTACCAGTGGGTTCCTACCTGAGTAGTACTTAAGGGTGTGTATTGCTAGTCAGAATAACTCAATAGTTAAAAGTGTAAGAAATTGCACTTTCCCATTCCTTCCCCTGTCCCAAAATCGTTTCAAATTAAATACTAGACCCTTTTCTAAAGGGACTTTTGTAACACAGCTACAAAGAGGTAGCCAAGTGGCACATGCCAATTTTTTTTAAGCATATTCAGCCTTCATTTCCAACATTTTGCATAGGAGGTCTTAAAGAAATCTCTATTCAGGTGGCATGTGAAGTTACTGCAGTTCAGAAGACTGAACTTGTAAGAGAACTTGATCTCCCTTCACGTCCATAATTGAAAACTAACAAGCATGGGAAAAACCCAAGTGACTCAGCATATGCAGGTGTGTAGCTGAAGAGGAGAGGAATGTCTACAGTCAAATCCCATGCTCCTCCTGACATACAGTAAAAGTTACTCCGAAGAACCATTCAGATCAAGCCCACCATTCGATCAATCTGTCTCATGTAGTTACTCTTCAGTGGCAGCAAGTATCTCCTCTCATCAGGAACTCTGTTACACTGTTAACAAAATCAGAATGTATGAAAACAGGCAATCCCATACCCTCCATAACCATTTCAGCATCAGTAAGCCTACATTTCCTCCCAGTACAGAAAACTGTACCCAATAGAGCTTTTGTTCCCCACTTGCTCTTGCTCTTTGCAAACTTACCAGCACAGACCACATAAATGAGCAGCAAGTGTTTCCCCAGTGCAGGCTGCAAGCTTCTAAATACATACCAAACTACTGCAGCTTGTTATTCAACTGAGACTTCCTTCACTATGACAACTGTGAACATTTAAAATAATGCTCTTTTTTCTGCAGGACTGGGGTGAGGAGGAAAGGAACCACGCTAGAACCTACTACCAGAGACTTAAAAATACTGTTGTGTATTAAAAGCGTATCTACTTTGGTTGGTGACAGGCACTGGATCCATGGCTCTGCACTCAGTTGATGCCTAGCTAATAAAGGTCACCTTTACATGCCTCAAATCCATTCTGAGGGAAGAAAAGTTTTGTTTAAATACCCTCTGCTTTTCTCTCTCCCCATCACAGCAACACTGGAAAATTTGAAGGGCAAAGAACAGGTGAAGGGAAAAATAATGGGAAGTAAATTAACAAAGCAGCAACTAATTGCTGCAAAATGCTTAAAAGGGGACAGGTTTCACCTTCAACATAATCACTCTTGCATTACCCTAATCCATTCTTTCTACTACTTAAAGTGGTTTTCACAAGGGACCTTCTCAGGCAGTTGACATTTGTAAGGCAAACACTGCTGAGCTTTAAAGTAACACTTCCAAATGGCTCTCTTTCTACTGCCTAACCCAGTTCAACATACATCCCTCCTCCAGCCACACAACCAGAAACAATCTGTGCATTCCTTACATTAGAGCTGAAGTTGACTGCCTTTAACTCATTAGGTTTAATTTTTTCTGAGCCGTCCTCTTCTCCAGGGAGGATGTCTTGCCACAGTGAGTTACGGAAACGTTCATCCACAGACACAACATGCCCCTCAGTAGTAAACATATACTTATTTCCAGATTTATGCACTGGATTTTCTTCATCAAACAACTAAACAAGAGATAGGAGAGACAGCTACAGTATGTGTGCAACATTCTCCACATCCCATCAACATTAAGTTACAAAGGATGCACTCATGCATTTGAAGGATCAAGCAAAAAGCATACCTCTTAGTGCTAAATGGCCAACTACTGTTAGAGCAAATGGAAATAGATAGTTTCAATGCAAGTGATTTATTTTAGCAGTTAAAAGGGGAGAGGCAAAAGAAAGACTTCTCACACAACTTAAACTGCCCTTATCTTTCTATGCTGCAGCATACATGCATTGCTGGGCTGGCATTCACTATTTCTATCCAGTCACAAATTTATTTGCTTTTCTGCACTAAAGGAGATTGACTGCCAAATCCTGACGGGGAGGAACTGGGGGCTGCAGTGAGGCAGGCAAAATGGCTACAAGTAACAATTTAGCTCAAAGCTAAGCAGAGTATCTTTGAAATGAACATACACGTACCAGATACAAGTATTTACACGTTTCACTGAGAAAAAAGCTCTCCATTCGATCTTCCTTTGTCTTCTCTACAACGTGATGCAATGTGGCATAGCCACACCTGCAAGATTTAAGATTGGTTTGAGTTTAGTTCCTGCACATTCTGTGCTTGAAGTGTTCCCTAAATATTTCTTCAGACCACTCCAACTGTCACTAGGGGTGAAGTTAAAATGAAACAAGTCTTTTTTCCTAGTCAGCACTGATTATTGTTTTCTGGTGTACTGATGAGACTGCAATCATTGACCCTGTGGTTTACCTACTCCATTGTGAAGATTTGTTAAAAGTCTCTCAAAGACAGTACTCAGAACAGAACAGGGAATTGCCCCATTCTGAGCACATGGTAAAGACCCAGGTCTGGAAGCCTGGTCTCATAGAATAGCTAGGGTTGGAAAGGACCTTAAGATCATCTAGTTCCAACCCCCCTGCCATGGGCAGGGACACCTCACACTAAACCATCTCACTCAAGGCTCTTTCCAAACTGGCCATGAACACTGCCAGGGATGGAGCATTCACAACTTCCCTGGGCAACCCATTCCAGTGCCTCACCACCCTCACAGTAAAGAACTTCTTCCTTATATCCAATCTAAACTTCCCCTGTTTTAAGTTTTAACCCATTGTCCCTCATCCTATCACTACAGTCCCTAATGAAGAGTCCCTCCCCAGCATCCCTATAGGCCCCCTTCAGATACTGGAATGCTGCTGTGAGGTCTCCACACAGCCTTCTCCAGGCTGATTAGCCCCAACTTTCTCAGCCTATCTTCATACGGGAGGTGCTCCAGTCCCCTGATCATCCTTGTGGCCTCCTCTGAAAGTGTTCCAAGTCCTTTATGTAGAGGTTTCTTCCCAGACTACCCACTCTTTAAAAGACACACACACCCCCTCCCCCCAGCTTAACATATGAAGCTTGTAATTCTTTCAGTCACCCCCTACACGGCACCTGAATGCCATTTAACTGCAGACTGGTACTGGTTTACACTCTCCTATGGTTAATACAGACTTGTCTACAAAATCAGTAAATACCAATAGGTGAATAAAAATTTGCTATCTTCCAAATGAGTCTCTCAGTATTACAGTCAGGATTCACCACTACTGTCATGAAACAAAAGCCAATATGCAACAGCATCTGCCTTAAAGGCCATCCTTCCACTTCAGTTATACATCACGGCCCCATGATGTGAGAAATATTCTTGCAGGATCCATAGAAAAAACACACTTACTAATTTACCTGTTTTCAGCAACTGATCAACAGTGCATTTTGCAAAGTAGTGATAAAATTCTTAAGCCATAAAGTTGTCACTGGTCTGTAGTTTCATTTTCAGGTAAGACAGAAATCATTACTCAATAAATAAAACACCACTTGTGGCTTTCCTGGGTTTTCTGGTTTACATACATTTGGCAGAGCATATTCTATAGAATATTTATATAACAAAATATATGTGCACAGCAGTGAGAAAAGACAAAAAAAACATTGAAAACTGACTTTGCTTTTGTGTATTTTTCCAAACTCTGCAGAATATCCATCCCCACATGAAGGTAAAATGGGTTCTTTGTGGCCTAAATAATGAAGACAGACAAGAGTTAATCAGCAGTTTCAACAAAGGCCTAGTACTATCAAATTCTCATATATTATAGTAAGCTTATCTTTATAGGAACATGATTTAGATTACTCTGCAAGCTTCTCACATCTGCTTTAGTGCAAATACCAATACAATATGTAGTAAATTGAAACGTTTTTGGATAGCTTTCTCGCAGCCACAGTTATTTTAGTTTAGTGTATCTCCTGCCAGCTGGAGACTCTGCCTAAACTATATAGCAAGGAAACCTATTACATTTACTTCAACTATTTCTGTTAAGAAGTCACAAGTCTCCACCTTGTTAAAATCTGCCAGCAGTTTCTTTAAAAGTTCATTTAGCCTCCTTTTTGTCTGTCCTGTAAGAAAAGTGTTACTTTTAAAGCAAACAACACGGGAACTACAGTGCATAACAATCTAGTGCCTAAACAGAGACCTCCGTATAAGAACAGGCAGACCCAAAGGCACCAGATTTTAGCAGGCCAGAGGCTAGGGGCAGAAAAAGTGACCTTCCGAACAAAGCCATTTTTGCCAAAACATGAGGTATAAGCACAGAAAAGTCAAGTACCTGATAAAGAAGATATGTGGATTCCACTAACTCTGGTCTTAGTGGATAAAAGGGAACATCCGGCGCTTGCAATTGCCAGTTGTATCTTTCTGGGAGAGCTCCGTATCGCTTCCATATGGCATAATAAAAAGCATGGAGACAAATAGCATCTTCCACATCTCCTATCAATACCTAGGCACAACAACAGCCATAAACATGCAGGCTTAATACCGCAAGCCAGCAAATTACTTTTCCCTCTGTATAAAAACATGCCATATAATAAAACACTCCCCTTATAAGGCGAGACAAAAAAATCACCAGTCCTCTCCCTCCCCACAAAAGAAAGCTAATACATTAGTTTCACTGCATCAAAAGCTCTAGCAGAGCTCAGCCTCACAGCACAGTATGCAAATGCTAAGGTTAAATGAAAAAAGATAAAAGATCTAGTAGGCAGCAGACCAGGCCTTCCAATATTGTTACGCTAATGCAGAAGCTGAACTGCCCTAAAACTGCCTTATCAGAACAGCCAGATGTAAACCTGCAGGTTGAAGCTCACCTCAAGAAATGCTTAGATTCGTTCCCAGCCTAGGATTAGAATGGGCCTTTCTGACACCTCTCTACTGTGGTGTGCTGTCCTGAACAGAATGGAAGTTTACCTGTAGTCCAGGAAAAAACGCTTGCAAAGAGTCAATCCACGTGTTCATCAGCTGTCCTGTGAACATGTTTACGTTAACGTACAAAGGAGGGTCACCTTCACCTTCATTGCAAGCTTCTCGACTGCCAAGTAACAATAAGCACATGTAACTATTCACTATTTTAGAAGAACACAGTGCACATTTCAATTCCACAGCACTGCCACGAGCAAAGAGAATAAGCCACACATTTGTCATGCTAGGTTCAAACCCATTTTGAAAAGAACAAAAAGGTCAGTCACGCTCACAGACAAATTAATTCATGAAGGTATGGACATCATATCCTAAAGTTATGTCAGCAGAATCTCTACCCTGGTAAAGTCATGGTAGGCAAGATCAGGCCTTAAGAATTACTAAACCAACCAATTTAATATATTTCCTTTGCAATTCTACAGCCTTCTCTCAGCTTCGCTTTTACTAACTTGGATGTTAAGCAGTTTAGCTTCTTCACACCAGTGACCATGGAGTGAAAGGAACATTAAAAATTATTTCCACAGTGACTACCATGGAAATAAGATACTGTTTCTTTTTAAAGAAAAAAAGAGAACACTGATTTCTAGAGCACGCCACAAAACACTATACAATCGTATCTCGCTCTGGGTCATTGCTTAAGAAATTGATACCCATATGAAATAACATACCCTCTTCTTAAATGGTTCTGAATGTTCCGATAAGCATCATTGAACATCTCCAAGTCTTCCTTTTCTCCAAAGAGGATGTAAGACTTCAGAAGGTATTCATAGAATGAATCTGACCCAGCTCCCAGTCCACTTTGCTTTCCAACCCAATGACCAGTTTGAATATTCACGACATTTCCTTTCAGAACAGACAAAAAGTTAAGAGTAAAGTTGACAAGTACAGCACAGAAAAGTAATCAAGAACCAGCACTCAGAAATATTATCTTCAAGAAGTTCTGAGGAATGATCAAAGACTACTATCAAAATGAAGTGTTACAGTGCATTCCTTCAAGGACCTAGCACACACACACAGCAGTTGGTTTAAGTACTTTTAGTCATCTGCCAATCTAAATTATATTAACGGGGATACAAATGCAAGAACCTCAGTTTCATTTCCCAATTTCACAAAAAAAATGTGTCTTTGGAGACCTGTGTTCTAAGAACTCATTCAGATACTTCATTTTTCTTACAAAATTACACAGTGCCATTTGATCAACACAGACCACAAGTACACAGGGAGAGCATGACTTAATTGCTACAGAGGAAGCAGACTGACAAGGTTTATGATACGTCAAAGAAACTCGTTGCATGATGGCATTCTGCTAAAGGAAGCTGAGGCAGGTCAAAACATGGAGCCAGTCAATACAGCATCTCATCAGAGCAGATTACCTAGCAGCCCAGTGTTATTGCTCCTGAGACTCCACAGTGCTTTGACGGCTCTCCTGGCCACCCACTCAAACGTGGAATCCCCAAGCAGCCTGCTAAGGATCCCAAATTCCACCAGCAGAGAACCAGCTCCTGCAGTACAGGTTTCATTATTGCTGTCTGGAGGTACCCCCTTCTTCAGATTGACCTGTGAAGAGGGTAAAGAGAGTGCAAACAGTGATAAGGCAGGCTGCACCTCATGCAGTTGTGCTCTCATCTGCAGTCTTGTATTTATTAGAAAGCCTTTTCATTACGTTTTGCAATACGTAGCATGCAAGGTGTATATATTTAGAAAGCCAGAGTATCACTGCTTGGTGAAAAAGCTTTCCTGAAGAAAACCTGAAATTCATCTTACAGCTTTAACATCATGCTTAATGGGGCAATCCTAACTTTGCTCCTCTCTTACTTGTTCGTCATCCCAAATTTCAGATCACTTTTTCATCATCTCTACTAAACATTCAAGTTCTTCCAAGGGCGACGGCAGTGCTGTTCCCAGTCTTTTAGTGATCTTGAAACCAAGAGTCTCCTCACTGAACACTCCTGAACTTCCCCATGCAACAAAATGTTGAAGAGAAATTACACCACCCTCAACTGATTTCCCACACTCTGAAAAGAAATGGAAGTTCATGTTTCTACAGGCTGACAGGTCTGGAAGAAAAGCAATGCTGCTGTGCTCAAAAATCAAAAGCAGTCAAGTAAGTGTTAACTAGTTTAGTGTTGTTCCACTAGAGCTGACATTCTTCTCCTTGCTGACTGTGCGCTCAAGGAGAAGGACACGGTATTCAAGAAGACCACAGTGGGATTGAGTGCGCCCTCAGCAAGTTTGCCAATGACACCAAGCTGTGTGGTTTGGTTGATACGCTGGAGGGAAGGAATGCCATCCAGAGGGACCTTGACACGCTTGTGAGGTGGGCTGATGTCAAGCTATGAAGTTTAATCATGCCAAGTGCAAGGTCCTACACCTGGGTCAGAGCAATCCCAGGCACAGCTACAGGCTGGGCAGAGAAGAGATTCAGAGCAGCCCTGCGGAGAAGGACTTGGGGGTGCTGGTCGATGAGAAAATGAATATGAGCCGGCTTCAGTGTGCGCCTGTAGCCCAGAAAGCAACGGTATCCTGGGCTGCATCAAAAGGAGTGTGACCAGCAGGTCGAAGGACGTGATCCTGCCCCTCTACTCTGCTTTCATGAGACCTCACCTGGAGCATTGTGTGCTGTTCTGGTGTCCTCAACATAAAAAGGACATGGAACTGTTGGAACAAGTCCAGAGGAGGCCACGAGAATGATCAGGGGAATGGAGCACCTCCTGTATGAAGACAGGCTGAGAAAGTTGGGGCTGTTCAGCCTGGAGAAGAGAAGGCTGCATGGAGACCTCATAGCAGCCTTCCAGTATCTGGAGGGGGCATATAGGGATGCTGGGGAGGGACTCTTCATTAGGAACTGTAGTGACAGGACAAGAGGTAATGGTTTAAAACTTGAACAGGGGAAGTTTAGATTGGATATAAGGAAGAAGTTCTTTACTGTAAGGGTGGTGAGGCACTGGAATGGGTTGCCCAGGGAAGTTGTGAGTGCTCCAACCCTGGCAGTGTTCAAGGCCAGGCTGGACAGAGCCTTGGGTGATATGGTTTAGTGGGAGGTGTCTCTGCCCATGGCAGGGGGGTTGGAACTAGATAATCTTTAAGATCCTTTCCAACCCTAACTATTCTATGATTCTTGAGTACACACTGAGCAAATTATAAATTCCAAGCCCAGTATAACAAATACTTCAGATTAGTTTTATTTTATCACAATTATCTTAGAACCAGGTCGTTCTCAATAGTTACTTTCCCAGGCTATTTACCTTCAAAGTATTTCTTATTAACCTTCTTACTGACAGCACTGTTTGTCACCGCTTGATATATAGGAAGAAAGCATGGGGCAAGGGCACATTCCAACCAAACAGCACAGAAACAAATGACTACTGACACATACAGAACAATACAGAGTGAAAGAACAGCCTAAAGAAAACATTTACTAGGCATAAGGAGCCACTTATAAGGTCCATGTCACCATAACTTAGCAGTTACCCCACACACCTTTTTAATGTCCTTTCGAGCAGGTTCAGTACCCCAGCACGCATATGCACGTACACACAGGGCACAGAATTTGAGTTGCAGAACAGGTGAATTACTGCTTTAGATTATGTTTGTGTGCTCACTTACCCGAGGATACGGAATTCCAGTTTTGGTGTTCTCAAAGGCCGGAAGTAATCTCACTGCTAGGTCATGAGCCATATGCAACAGTTCATTGTCATAATCCTTAATGGTCATATCACCAAAAGGCTGTTTGGTATCTGTGATTATTATGTGGGCAGAAAGCAAGCTTCCCAAAACCCTATGGAAAAAGGAAAGGATCTTCAGTTTTTAAATCTGGTCTGAACCTAGTTCTTCAGCTAAACCCTTACCAGTATTGTGTTTAACCGAAGTATTACTTTGTGCACAGGTACTACAGTGAGGTCTGCTTTTTTCCCCACCAGCAGTGAAAGCATCTGGAAGTCACACTGCTCATCAGCCATGGTAATCCCCAAGACCAGTTCTGCTAAATTGGCCTAACCCACTAGCTCCTTACAACATACCAAGTGTATTTATGAGCAAAGACTTCCTTGCCTCTGCAAATGGCAGTAAAGTTGTTATATAAACTCAGTATTCAGAGAAAAGAAGGCTTAGCCAAGGTAAGCGGCAATTAAATAAAGACTGTTTAAGACATACAGAAAATTAAGCCATTCAAAATCAGACAGTATCTTAATCTCATCTCCAAGGAAGACAAGCCTATTTTTTGTTTAAAACAAAAGTGAAAGCAAACAGATCCATAGAAGAAAACGAAAACAGAGTATCTGTTTTGCATGAAAGGTTAAAACCAGCTTATTTAAGGAACAATTATGGGGCAAAGCCTACCAAAGACATTTTTATCGATGATTTTACTTGGTTTCTGCCATATATGCACACCAAGTCTTTCATCTTGTCATTGATTTAAAGACAGAAACTTTAGACCCACATACCTGATTGTTGCCTCAAACACTTGCACTGTTGAGTCTTTATCAAATGAAACTGTGTCAATCACCAACTTCACTGCTTTCTGGAATTCCGAGGAGTTTCCCATTACCTTGATATAAAAACAAGGCTATTTTGTTTAATTCCTTCAGAAAAGGGTTAGGAAACAGAATGACAAGTTCACATTTTAGACCAATAAACATATTAACTAGATACAGAACTGAGTATTGCAAGCTCCTACTAAAAAGACTTTCTGGAAGTTACTCATCCTACTGACATGTAAAAGTTCGTTTTTAAGAAGTATGTAAAAACAGGGAAATCAACAGGTATATTTTTGTCTGTTTTACCAACCTATGCACTCACATGCTCTTCCACCCCCAATACTGGTCTTTTGGGTGATCTTTCGGAAAAGTCTGACTTAAGATCTAGCACACTGAGTGTTTTAACTGCTTGAACTATCAGTTTAATAGTTGCATTTAGCTTAAAAGGAACACAGTTTGTAGAACAATGAAGTCTGATTCATGTATTTGATCAGTGAAGACCAGCCTTTCAGGCTTTTTACTCAACACTGCACACCCTGCCCAGTAAGTTCCCCCATGCCAGTTTTCTTTAGGTATACCTTAGCAATTGATTTCCACTATATCCAGAGACAAACTCAGCTTTAAGGAAACAGGAATATGGAAGAAAAACACAGGTCCCACTTGTATTAGTTCAGGTAGGTCTGGGTGTACAGAACTCCCGAGCACTTTAACCATGTGCCAGAGCACTTTAACCATGTGCCAGCCTGCCTGCTCTTCGTGCTACCCAGACCTAGCAGGAAAGCATTCACATGCTTGATCTGAGCAGATGAAGAGCTAAGTAGGCATTCTCCATGCAGAAGCTTCCAAAACACAAGAGACTCTAGGAATCAGAAGTTTTATAGTTGAGAAAGTTAGGTACTGTCCCAAAAGGTATGGATGGGACACTGAGCCACTGCTGAATGAGCACAGGAAGGCAACTGTTCAGCCAACACACCACCAGCCACGCAGCATGGATCCCTACCCACTGCTTCAGTTAAAACCAACTTCCTGCTTTCAGTTCTGTTCAGTTAAACAGCTGAGACCTCCTCCCTACAGAGAACTGCAGTTCCATGGTAGCAATGGCAAGTATTCTATAACACAAAGACAGCATACAGTGCTTGCACACACCACCTTCTGCACAAGAAGAGAGAAATGCACTCTGGATCCAGTGCATCAGTGACACTCCAGAAGGCCAAGAATCTGCCCTGGTTGCAAAAATCAGAGCAACAAACACGCGTTTCGAGGATTAACAGAGCAAGTGGAACTCATACATGCCCAGGAACATCCGGGATTTCACATCGCTAAAATGTCCCATCAACCGACTTGCGCCTTTCAGACGTTAATATCCATATCCCACCAAGACACGGCTTTGCGACTTTAATTAGCAGAAGTATTACTCTGCGGCAATGCATGCCAGCTACATTAACACACCTTTGAACTGATCAGCAAAGTTCAGCTGGCAAAGTTCAGAGCGTCCCGAACTTCCCTGGGGGTTAAACTTAACGGGGCGACCAAGGAGCCTTCTGGCACACCGCAGCACGGCGGTCGCGGATGGATGGACGGACGGACGGACAGACAGACGGAACGAAAGAAGGAAGCGTTCCCTGCAGGAGCAGCGCCTACCCTCCCCGGCCCCGCCGCGGACTCACCGCCAGCGTGTCCAGCGCGTCGATCAGCGTCAGCGAGTAGTTCCCCAGGACATCGTTGATGTTGAGGTTGGAGCTGGAAGGGAAGAACCGGGCGTCAGGCCCCGCCGCGCCTGGCTCCCCGCTCCCCGCCCCGGTTCCCCCCCGCCACTCACGGGTCCCGGCGGTCGGGGCCGCGGCCGCGGCAGTGCAGCGGGTCGAGCTCGTCCCGGGGAAAGGCGTGCTGCATGTAGCTGTCGTAGCTGAACACGAACATGCCGCGGGCGGCGTCGCGCAGCCGGGCCCGCAGCTGCGGCGGGAAGGCTCCGCTGTACCGCCGCTCGTACTCGTCACCCCCCGCCGCCGCCGCCCCGCCGCCATCGCCGTCCCGCCACAGCAGCGAGCCCCAGTGCGAGGAGCCGGCGGCGCCGGGCGGTGGCGGAAAGGTGAAGGGGAAGCGGCGGCGCAGGCAGAGGCCGGGCGCCAGCGCGGGCAGCAGCGCCAGCAGCGCCTGCAGCGCCAGCCTCAGCAGCAGCAGCCCCAGGAGCACCGACCGCCATTGCATGGTCACCTGCGCGCCGCGGGCATAGTTTAAAGGGGCCGCCGCTCCCCCGCCCGCACTGCAAACCCCACCGCGCTGCTCCGCGCCGCACCGCCTTTAACAGCGGAAGGGAAACACGGGGCGCAGGGCTCCCATTGGCCGAGCCGGGACCGCCCGTCGGTCATAGGGAGAGCAGCGCCGTCACTCAAGGGCGGAACCGCACCGAGACTTAAAGCGGCGGGGGGCGGGGCATGGGGCGGGGCACGGGGCGGCCCGCGGCTGTCGTGGCACGGCCTGGCGGCGGGGCGGCCCCGCCCGGCAGAGGGGTGAGGCCTGCGCCCGGCCGGGCACCCGAGGGGGAGGTGGAGAACTGGGGTCCTCCGCTATCGGGAGTGCGGCGGCGAACAGGGAGAGCTCTCTTTGAACACCCCATCGAGTCCAGTAACGTTTGCAACCCGGCCCGCCTGCTGCTGCACAGCCCAGACCCTCTTACCCCACAGGCGGCACCCAGCACCCTCGCCGTGACCAGCAGTAAGCGAAGTCTCACCGGGGAGCGGTCCCCCATGCGTCAGGACGAGCTTTCCTCCTCACCCGCGGGAGAAAGAGACGGGGAGATCAGAGGAAGCAGTGCTGTGCTCCTGGGGTATGGAAGGCTTGGGGGATGGATACAGAGCTGACAGCTGAGCTGCTCCGACAGAGAGATGGGGAACGGAGCAGCGGCTGCGACTACTGCGGTACCGCGCCCGTGGTGAAGCAATGTTCGGTGTAGTGCTGGAAGAGAGCAAAGAACAAGTTCCAGGGCAGCTGGAGGTGTCAGAAACGAGTATAAATAGAAAACCTGACAAGGACCACTTGCAAGTGTAGATATGAAAGTGAAAATAGACTCACAGCAGTACTGGTAAAAACGAAACCTCTCAAAGACAACGGAATCAGTAGAGAGACTACAGCTGGGGGAGGTAAAGAGAACACACACCTCCAACCTACCCTAGAAAACTCTGACAGTAACACCACTAACTGTGGTTCTAACCGCAACTGTTTTACTGTTGAACTAAGGCTGGTGCCCACTCTGGTGTTGCAACCTGCTAGCAAGTTGATAGTACAGAAAATCCTTGCACAGGGAAAAAAAAAAACAGTTAAAGACTACCATGCATTGTCAGACAACCAGACATTAATGATTTGTCTTCAGCCTGTATTTTATACTTTCTATTTCAAAAACCAGATCTTGCTCTTTGTTTTCCATTCATTGCAACAGAAACAAAACCAATCACAACAGAAACAGCAGAATGGAAAAATCAAAAAACAAACCAAAAACCAAAACAACACACAAAACCAACAACCAAACACAAACCCAAAACCAGAACAAAACCAAAACCCACAAAAAAAGCCCCAAAAACCTGTGGAATTCATCCATCTTTTTAATGGGGGTTCTTCCCCTCTTCAGCACAAAAAAAAATATTCACACCAAGATTAACTTATTAACTCTGAAAAAAAAAGAGGAAAAATCCACATTGTTGAAAAGACTGAAATATCTTCCCATATCCCAAGTTAACACAATTATACAGAAGCAGCTTCCCAGTTTACTTCACTGTGATGCTCTCCTGAGAGCCAAGTTTAGCTTACAGTTTCACACACCACCACAGCTTTTTCCTTCTCTACCCACGTATTTGCTTTGCTTGTTGAGTAACATGGTTTATGACTTTCTACCCAGTAGGTCTTTTCAGAAGCACAAATGAGACCAACAAAAGCATTTAAAGCAAAGCTGTAATCAAATGAGAGCACTTCACAGACCAAATACTCAGGAAGTTGCCCTCACTGAGCACAAGGCTTATGGTCACTCTTTTGAGATGAAGTCACTTGGTTAACACTCCTACTGGTTTCCAGAGAATCTGCTCTGCTAATACATGTTTAAAGCATAAAGTTCCCCAATCAGGCCAGGAAAGACTTCCTGAATTTAGTATTTGAACATATCTGTCCATATGGAAGCAACACCACTCACTCTCTTCACTGTTCGAGGACTGCTTCAATGAGTGAGCGGTTTGCTCCTCTCACAAATGATGAAAAGAATTACATGTTAGCATAGATAGTTTTAGGTTAACTTGAGTATAATGGCATTTCGCACAATTTGGTAATGAGGGCTTCTTATATGTATCTAAGAACAATAAAAGTAGCTGTACTACTACAGATGAATATGCAGAAGGATTGTTTTTAACAACACTTTATTGAAGCACTGCAAAATGATCACAATGATAGATGTTACCTTTAACAGAATAAAGGCTGTAATGTCATAATTTAAAGGCACTAATCCTGGCACAAAGGTCTACTTACCCACCTTCCACTGTGACAGAAATAAACACACCCGGTATTTTCCTTTAAAACAGTATGTGCATACCCCCTCTGAGTGCCATTCTGTGTTTGTCATTTAAGTGACATGTAAAAGAAAACCCCAATGTTTCACCAAGGCATACTTCGACATTCGACATCTGTAGTCCTAAAGCAATGGACTACTCATTGAGGGTTTATAGTCTAGTGAGACAAGTCATTCTACACTCACATTTTGGGAATGAAAGTCCTGAAGCACATACCAGTCCCAGGCAGTCACACATTACTCCTCCTTTAGCACAATTCACTGCTTTGCTGCTTGTGTCATTGGCAATGCACTGCTCTCAGCAAGACAAGCTTAAATAACCTGATTTACACCCCCTGTTTAGAATTCAAACACCTCTCAAGTCAGGGTCAGCGCAAAAGCAAGCCAGCAGGGAGCAGAGCTGCGGCATGCTACTGGGAGGAAGCACATCTCTTTCACATCCAGTAAACACACAACAAGCAAATTATGACATGCCACTGCACAGCCACAGTAACTATAAAATTAAACCTTAGAAAAGTTAAAAGCTTGATAATTCAGCTAAGCCATATTTCAAGTTATTATCGATCCCTGCACTACATCCCTATATTAACTTAATCAGAGACTGTTTAAGGCATTTTCTTTGGCCTCCTTTCTTGTACCAGAAAGTAAAGATTATGGAGCTTTATATGTCAGTATCCAAAAAGGACTGTCTTTCCAACCTGTTTCCATAAAGATGCCAAAACACAGATCAGTAAGAAATTAAATTATTAGTTCCACAGATCACAGAACAGCTCCACATTTGTGCATCTTTCATACTGCCAAGTTGTAGGACAGAACTGCTCTATGCACCTGCTAAGACACTCAGCTAAAGTCAGGGTGATGATGAGAATTATGTTGCACTGTAATTGCACTTAAAGAAACCACCATTCACACTAACACTGGAGTTTTTCCACAAGGAAAACTCTCCCACAGCCTAGTGCTGCAGACGCATGCACAAACATCTCTTCCCAGTCTGAAGACTTGCTGCTCTATGATCAGTAAGAGCCATCACTTATACTGATCAAAACCAACACCAACTATTTAGAGTTGACAGCTATTTTAAACCATTGAGACACCACACAATAGCAACACATCACAAAATCATAAACATATGACTGATGTCCAACTCCCATGCATATTCATGACCAAGACTTCTCTCTGGCTCAGTATTTGCCTTTTCACAAGACCTGTTTTTCTTAATATGCCAACAGCCAAGGCCTACTGCAGACATATCAGAAATGAGTTTCAGGACAATGGCTATTAAGTACAATAATTTATATTAGTAAAATGCATACCCAAAAGCAACTTTTGTTGAGAATGGGAAATTACATCAGTCTTTGTTTGCTGTCTAGGCTCACTACAGAGCCTGAGACAAGTAATTATCATGCAAGATTAGACTGGCCCAACAGATTTTCAGAAGCAGAACACAACTATAGCATCCAAGGTCAGCAGACAACACTGCTAAGTATCTGCCTTAGGCTCCACACCCTCATTAGAACAGATTTAACCTCGGACTTAACTGTGCCAGAGGAGTGAGCAGTTTTTTAAGTCCAAGGCTGAAAGGTGGCGAGAACAGCCTTACTCCTCTGGAAGGACTTAGTACACTTTTCTGTTTCAAGATTAAGTGTAATCCTCAGCACTGGATTCAAGTAGTCACTTGAAGGTCTATACTTAAGCCATCTGGAAGAACAGTACAGGACCAGCTCTGAAAAACTAGTCACTTTGTGAAGAAATACGAATGTACTTTCTTGAGTACACACATCACAAATAGCCTTTGTAGCTCTCCCTGCTATTTAGATTTAGTAGAAACTATTCCTGAAATACGTCAAGCAAAGAGCTGTTAATCAAATTCATACCACAGCTGATTTAAGTGATTAGTGCTGGTATCAGACCAACCAGGGTGACAAATCTTGCAGCAGTAATACTGATTTTGTGTCTAGAGGTATTTTCCTTTGAAATTTTCACTCCAAGTAGCTTGCTTTGCATGCAGGAAACTTCCATGAACTGAAGAAATATGCACACGATCTTTTTACTCAACAGTTCATTAGTCCTTCCCACCAGACAACCTACATGTGATGGATGCTAACAGAACACTACTCAAGCCTAAAAACTAACCTGTTACAGCTCAGTAAGTGTGAAAGCTTACATGGAGGGAAGCCCTGAATAGGAGACATCCAGTTCGTTACCATTACTTGGAAGATGTTGACATACGGTCCTGTAACTTTATCAGTGACCTATGAGAAATTTGTGCAACAAAGCACCTGGAAAGAACCATCACTGTAACTTCAGATTAAAGTCACAAAAGAGTTTTTGTTCAAGACCTTAGTCAATGAGAAGCCTCACTTCCCAATGGGATAAGAATCTTTATGCATTAATTGGCAGTGAATGATCAGGAACTGCTAGATCTGACACTTGTGCTAGAAAAGCGAAAGTTTTACTCTAGACTTGATAACAAGAAACAAGCTTGTAGACAAATGCTTTTTTTTTTCCTTGAAAACAGAGCTCCAGAAGGCTGCCCCTACTTAAGACCCTTCAGCTGACCAGTGCTTTTCATACACTGAAGTCTGCTGAGATTGACTAGCTAAGCTTGCTCATGTAAGCTGAGAAAGCCCCAGGCCTGAAAGGTAGTTTTATGATTATTACACTTGAACAGTTGAACCACAGAAAATAAAGAAACTCAGGTATTTATCAAGCCTTCTGCCCCCACTCTAATCTTGTGGGAGAGCAGACAGACAGCTCATAACATATTTCCATGAGTTAAGCCACATCAACTCAAGTCAGTCAGTTAAGTGTCAAT